CCGAGTTTATCGTCCATCTCCGAAAGGACCGAGAAAAGCGGAAATTCATGTAAAGTGTCTTTCCCAAGGGCACAACGTCGCACCAAGCTCACGCTCGAACCCTCGAACCACAATTCCCCCCCCCTCCCTTTCCACCAAAGCAGTGCTACTGACTGAAGTGTCTTTAGGCCATTCCCAAAGGGGAGACATTAACGTGTTCATATTCACAATAGAATAATTATTGTAATTGGGCTGATTTACCAATGCCATGCTCATACTGTGTCGAAGAACATTGGGGGAACTGCTGCTTTTTCTGTCCTCATCCTTACTATCGCCATTTCCCTCTACTTCTTTTGCATGTGAGTCACTCTCTTGTGAACTGCTATTTCCTCTGTGCCTTGATAGTCGAAGCAGACTTTGTGTAGTTGAGGCTAGTGAGGTGAGCAGTGTAAGCCTGGTTCCCCGTTTGGACTTCTCTGTTGAAATCCACCCCTTGGCTCTCATATGACCTTATGCAGTTGCGAGCGCCGTAAAGCTTTACTAAAACTAAAACAGATCCACAATCTCTAGATGACGAGTCTGACTGGTAGCTAACCACTAGGCCACCGACACCACTTTATACCACGTTTAAGACCTGGAAAACCCCCCATCGCCGTGGGTTAGATCTTTTCTCTGCTCAAGCTACAGGAGCGGGAAAAAAGGAAGGGTGGGGTGTGGGGGTGTGGCCATGTGCAAGTAAGAAACCCCCTTCTATTATTAGTGTGTCTCGGCGATGGCAATTTGCTGTCCCAGAATCACCAAATTCTCTCTGCTCAGTACCTAGATCTAGATTTGAAAAATTTGACTTAACAAATTTTGAGTTTAACAACATGCCACTTTTTTTCGAATGCAGTTCTTTGAATATCTTGATAACAGCTACGAAAAATCTTACGATTTTGTTAAAGCAGATAGAGCATATTTTGGTTTCAGACTTCATGGTCTTAGAAACGAAACCCAGCCAAAAATGTCAGATAGAACTTTGTAGTTCTAAAGTAGCGAGTTATCGTCCTCCCAGAGACGCAGTACAGCACCTGTGGCTTTTTTCTTGACGTTGCACCAGGTGCCTGTCAAGTCACAGGTCAGAAATACCTCAAGGCGTCTCGCAGAAATGAGGGGACAAAAAGTGTGACGTCACGCAGGCTGAGTCGACGATAAACGTCATGGTTTTTTAAAAGTCCAATACGGAGCCCGTTCCGGAAGTTTCTTCAGAATGTCATGTGACCCGTCCATCCGTGTTGCCTGGCCTCACAACAGCCTGTGAATGTCAGCTTTTACGTCGCCCGTTGCAGATCTATCGAGAAGGAGCCTCAGGAGGGAAGAAAGCAGGAAGCCTTTTACCTTATGGCTTGTCATAATCTGACTGACAGGATTGTCATTGCTTGTTGTTTACATCAAACAAGCTAGTGGTTTGATCGTGTCGAGGCTAATGTGGGAAGAATTATATTGTTATCAATCGATGAGAACAAAGGGCGCTAAAGGTTATGCGGGAGAGGGGAGGGGAGGGGAAGCGAGCGACTCACTGAAACAGAGAGAGAGAGAGTGACAGAGAGAAGAGTAAAAAGAGAGAGAGAGCGGTATGAGTAAGAAGAGAGGGAGAGAGAGAGAGAGAGAGAGAGAGAGAGAGAGAGAGAGAGAGAGAGAGAAAGAGAGAGCGGTATGAGTAAGAAGAGAGATGGAGAGAGAGAGAGAGAGAGAGAGA